TCACTATAAAAAAGTTGGTTTTGAGAATATGAACAGTGTGGAAACTCTAATCGCTCTTATGTCATAGTTTTCTCTGTTTGGTACCTACATAAAAGTGCTGAGAATATGTTTTACTCAGGAAGATAAATGGACCAATTTAACCAGCCTTGTGACTGTCAGTGAGTCGGTTCTGCAGATTTTTAAGAGGACCACCGCCACAGATGTTAAACTCAATGAAATCTGTCAACAAATGAAGCCTCTTTACTCTTACATCAACACAGATCAGACAGGTTGCATGTGTGTAACTGATATTAATATTTTTTTTCTTTTTGTTTGCCTTCATTTTTTTTATTAACTGCCAGGATTTTCCTTCCCATCGGTTTGATATCGTCAGTTTGAATGCGAATTCTGATGAGCAACTGCCCACCCTATTCTAATGCTGAAAACAAACAGTGTACTTCACTATCCGTAACTCCAGTCTACCGTTGCAGACTTTTCGCATCCTTGCTTCGGCGTGTCTAAGAGATGGACGGGCAGAGTAATGCATGTGAAATCCCAGAGGAATGTATTGTTCGTGTAAAGCTAATGCCCGGTCGGCTCATCTACAAACTCCGGGCAGGTGCCGTCGGAGAAGTTTCGGCAGTGGAGAAATTGTCAGGTTGCATTTAATCTCCTGCGCCTCCCTGTCCATTTCAAATAATAGTCGTGCCAAGCAAGGCTTTACCTCTGACGGAAACCCAATTCCGCCTCTCCCTTATAGCCTTTTTTGAGGCGCGTTGCAGCAGGAAGCCTCTCTCTTTGATGCACGTCCGTGGTGCGCTGTCAGTCCCGCTGCCATAAACACAGGGATCGTCTGAATCTCACCCTGCAATTTTCCGTAAAATTCACTACTCAGATGTCCGGATACACTACCTGGTCAGCAGAGCAAATTGCAGGGATGGGAAGGGGCTATGGATATGGTTTGGAGGATAAAAAATTTGGGGATAAAAATATAAAGAATATTGAGGATCTGAACTCATTCAGCAGCTACTTGCGCATGTGAATTCTGCAACAATTAATTTGTATTTTCCTACCAGGGCCATATTTTAAAATGTGTTAATCATGCCCATATTATATGAGTCTAGTGCTAAATTTTTAAATGCCAATCCAAAAACTGAAACATCAAAGCATTTCGGTTTGCTCTACCAGTATCAATGTATGAGATTTTATTTTTTGACATACTTTTTACATTCTGCAAAGTAGATATTTAATTTTTGAAGATGTGGGGCATGTCTAAATTGCATTGGCATTTGGAACTGTAGAGAAGCATGAATTCCAATTTTACTTTCGTAGCCTGTGTTTTCATTTTGACTTAAAACACATGTAGACACTTAGACACTGACTGAATTTCAATGGTAATCATTATATCAACATCAACCCGTATCACATCTTGGCGAAAAATCACTGTGTAAAACTAATACACTTTCACTTTGATGTACACTGAGGGTGTCGCTGTTTGTCATGTGACTCTTGTTTAATTAAGGCCACCATATTTAATTCACTCTTCGCCTCTGAATGTCAGTGGTATTCCACTCTGAAACCCCAGGCCTTGCCTTCAGTCCTGTTCTCGTGCAGAATTATATCCATTATTTCAACATGTGTACATAAAGCAAGCGAATATACAGAATTTGAAATGCATGAGAAATTCTGCTGTACGGGTACAGAAGATTTATTTGTGACAGATTTGTGAAATGGAGGGGGTAGAGAATCTAATTTCGTGAATTTCCTTAGAGCAATTGATTATGTCATTACCTTTTATTTTCACGCCGCTTTTACACTGAACATGAACGTGATTATCGGAATCAGTCAGAAGCGAGCTGGAAAAGCGGCACATCTTGCCTGACTGAAATGTGTAATCGTAATAAATCCATTCACCGTAGCACACCGCTGTTTATCTAAATCAATACTTTGCACTAAAGGATGAAATCCTTCGCCGAGCAGAAAAACATGCTGTTCCAGATGATCTGCTTAGGAGACTGAGCGGTCATTATGACAGTTTATAATAATTCCAACCTCCCAGTTCGGAAACGCTGACGCGGTTAAATTAGTGGACTGTCATGAGCTCACCTCCCGGTACGGAGGAAAGAGGACTTGGGTCCCTTCATTAGCGTTCACGGGGGAAAAAAAAGATCATACAACAAACCCGAAATGTGTCTCCCACTGTGGACTTGTGCATTCATGAAATATGCAGGATATAATATTTATATGCACTGAAAATACACCCAGTCTTGTAATTGGTAAACATAAAATATGAGGTTGAAATAGGGTCGTGGTCATTAAACAGCTGTCAGTGTTATTTCATAATGTTTGGAAGGAAGATAAATAAAAAAAAAAAATGCTGTGACAGAAAAATGCAAAGTTTATTTCCATGATTGATTTGTTCATACACAGTTACCCATGCTGCAGCTCACGACAGCCGGAGTTATTTTCAATAACTACAGATAACTACAGATATCTATTTGTACATCCAAGGAATCATGGGAGACAAGGCTTTGCTGTGGGAAATATAAGGCAGTCGTTATGTTCTCAGACCTCCAGGTCTTTTCAGATATGATTCACAGTGGGGGGTCTCTCCTCTGTCATACCATTGCAGGTGCGGGTCACAGAGGAACTTATTGAAGTTCTTTGCCCCATTATATTGAATGCCACTGAATGGCCTTGTACTATTTTTGATATCATTGTTGAGTTCCCTCATTTCTTTGAAGAATACTGGATTCATCTTTCTTTCCTTGGGCCTGCTTAAGAGTCTTTGTTCCATTTCTGATTAATGCTTCACTTCCATTCAGCTTGACCTTTTATAATTTCTTAATGATTCCTTTAAATAAGGAAAGAATTTCCTCTGAACAAAATATATCTTGATAAATGCTGGTCGGACCTTAATAACCTCGGGACAGCCTGTAACATTAAGTAAATTATACATTTTATTGCGTGTTCTCATAATTTTTGGCAGCACTTTACATAATTATAGTTATAAATGTTTAATAAAGCATTAATAATTAGGAATGGGAAGGTTACTTTTAAATTGCAGGAGCCCAGGTTCGCCTGATTGAAAAATAAAATACTGTCGATGTCACAATTATGCATATTCACACAAATCAGTGCATTGTGACTATATTTTCAGTTTTTGCTTAATAACAAAATGATATAGCAAACATTTAAAAAATGATATTAATGCCGTTACTAAAACCTTATAAATGATTAATAACAAATGGGCCTTCATCAAATGTTTAAAGTGAAGGGCAAAGCACTGCAGTGGCTATATAACATGTATGTATAAGACATCATTCATCATTATTAGTTTTTTCTGCTCCATTGATTTAACCCTCAGTCCATCACACCTTAAAATCTATGGATGAGTTTGATTTTCATATGGGAATTACGTTTCGAGAGGGAGACTTATCGCTCTCAGTCTATGGTTTCGGAATCATCTGTGTCTTAATCCACAGATCAATGTGTCTGACACATAGAAATAACGCCATAAAGGAGATTTATGATGTCTGATTTTGGACGTCCTCAGCCACTGGAACCTCTGTTCCACATGAAAGATTGACTGTGCAAATGCTGCTGGATGTTATCAATGCTTTTTCATTGTAAACTGCATGGTGACACTTCTTGATAGATAGCTCTTCTTGTGACCAGAAGTTGGCAAGTTTGAGGTTTATTTATTTCAGAGAAAGTAAGCTTAAGGAGGCTGCATGCATTTAAATATCACTGGAGTTAAACGAGTAGGGATGTGACTTGAGCCAGATTTTTACATTTCTAAACTAAAAACTTTTTTTGTTTTCATTTGAGTAAGAAATAAATAGTTAACTCAAAATCTGTACATATTTATTCTGTTGTAAAAGAATGTATTGGGGAGTTTTGTATTGGTGACTCAATTGATAGCATTGTTAGCATTTTAATCCAGAAACAATGGAAGTCAATGTACCTATGGGTAGCAGGTAATAAAAATGATGGACTACTTTTCTTGTGGATGGGGTTACCACAGCTCTGTCCTTGCCAAACAATTGAAACTGTCCTCTAAATATCTGCAAAAATAATTTAAGGTACTCTGTCAAACTGTCAAGTGACAGCACAAGAAGAAGCTGGTGGTGGATTGTTCAAACAAGTTTAAGATGTTAAATATGTTTTATAAAATATGAGAAACATGTACCGTAGTTTTGTATACATTCATACAACTGACAAACCCAGTTCACATTTCACCCACAATGCACAGCCAACATTTACTGCCTTTTTTAGCAAACTAAAAGCCTCTGCACTGGCCAGCTATGTTAGTGTCCTTTGCCAGTCAGAAATGGAGTTACCTGCCTGGTATCCCAGTGTTTATCCCACTATTCCTTTGTTTTTCCAAGTATTTGGCAGCCTGTTAAAGAAACCCAATTCTACTGTGCCTGCTGCTTTACCCTTGAACAAGGTACTTGTACCTGCATTTCTTGTGTAAGCATCCAGTTGTTGAACAAATAGGGCTGTCTGCTGACATAAAAAATGATAACAATAATCTTGAAAAGAGTAGTCAGGCCATACATTATATTAAATATGTCTCTATAAATGTATTTTTTTATTATAATATATAAAAAATAAGTCTCTTCATCTTGAACTGTCACCTTGAGACTGGGATAAAGACACCATGCTGTCATGTTGTATATATGCTAATAAGACGGGCCAGAACACTTACTTCATTGAAGGTAATCCCTTATAGCAAGTAATGGGGTTATTTTCTCTGATTGCAGAAATTATAGACATTCCCACAAGGCAAAGCGATGGGGGAGAAAGAAAATTTGGTCGGTTTACCTATTGAATGACCTCTTCATGGCTTTATAAAGAAAGGTCGTAACTCGTTTTAGAAACCATGATTGTTTTGAGGGTTTATAACCCCAGAAGGACAGGCGTAAATGATTCAATAATTTTAGGTCTTTAGATTGCCGCTGTCAAATCACACCTTATTTTCCTTGTTTTTTTAGAAATGTATCAACATGGCGCACGCTCCGGTAGCTCATCCGGTAGAGCGCATGCCACATAAGGCTGAGGCCTTACCGCAGCGGCCGGCTTCGAATCCGGCCTGGGCCCTTTGCTGCATGTCCTTCCCTTCTCTCTCTCTCCCCTGCATTTCCTGTCTGCCTCCCTACTGTAACTGTCAAAGTAGAAAACTCCCAAAAAAAAAAATAAATGTATCAACATGTCTTTGCTGGGAAAGTCAAGAATTGAGAGATTTCAAGGAAATGTTCCCCTGTATTACATAATTTTAACACATGCTATTTTATTGATTTCAAATCATTATCCTGTAAACTTTTGTTGCACTGTTACACAAAAGAACAGAAGGAGGTTAGAATACAAAACTCTCAAACTCTGGCTGTTTTATTCATGCAAGACCCTTGGTTCCCAGTTTATGCCTCTTGCCATTTTGACGAAACCGAATCTCACGAATGACAGATGATAGTCTGGCAGAGGCTTCTGTTTTATACATTGTGGAGGGTTTTCCATTTAATAGTGCTACATAGCTAATATAGTATAATAGCATAGTGTCCCATCCATCCATCATATACTCAATCATTGTTTGTAAGTAAATGAATAAAAGCTAGCAGAAAGGGAAGTGCACAGGAAGGACAGAGCACTGATCTATGATTCACCTCTGACTACTGTGCTGATGAGAATGCTACCTTAGCGCTCAACACAGCCTAAGCCAACCTCCATTTTGTATGCAAGTGTATGGATAAAAGCTGCTCTTCACTTGCTAATAGCAAGAAATGCTAATCTGTGAAGACCCAGGTCAGAATCACCCTTCTCCTTTATATAACAAATACCCACATCTGTTCTCACTCCACATACATATGACATTGACTGTTGTCCCACCAGAATGGAGATATACGCCGTCTTGGTTAAATTTTCAACATGTGTGTACGAGCAAGGCCAACGCGTGCCGTTGTCTTGGATCTCCGTGCTGCGTCTCAGCACGTCCTTGTCAATGTTCATGCGTAGCAACAAAGGAAAGCGTTGTATTGAAGTGGAAATTGGAGGGAATGCACAGATAGCTCAGAGCTCTGCCACTTTTTCTGTCTGTTACTGTGGAACAAGTAGCAGCCAGTGATAAGGTTGGGGAAACAGAGGAACGGATGTACACAAGGGATTTTGCATTGTATGATACATGCTCCCTATTGTTAGCATTATGTCACCGAACTATGATGTTTTACAAAAGGGAAGGGCATTCCATTAGCTGGCTTTGACAACCCTTTCATTCCTTACCAATTCATTTTCAGTCCCCCCTCATTGCGATTTAAAAAAACTAATGAATAGTGTCACCCCTTATAATGGCTTGGCTCAGTGTGAAGGTCTAGGAGTTGGGTCATATCACAAAAGTCTGTCTTGCTTGCCTATTGTCTGTTTGTTCATTTTAGTTGGGACTTAGAGTTGACTTGTCGCAGTGAAGTGCTCTTAGGATCTTTGCATGCAAAGCTCTATATAATACCATAGGTTTTTATGCTCATTGAAACTGAAATATTACTCACACAGATCATTCTTTTGCTCATGGGGATTTAAAATCCTGGAAACAAGAGTCGTGGCCTGTAAATTGCAATGCTAGGCTAGAGTCAGGACAAGATATATTACAGTACACATTTTTTAGTGAAGCAAATCAATCATAGGGGAGCTTGGTGGCTTGTCTAATTGAGACACTGTTCCGTTGTCTGGAAGGGGGATCCATCGTCTGGATTTAATTCCGTCCATGCTAATGCCGGCTGGGGGGAGCTAGCCCTTTGGGGCGATCCACAGCTGACCTTAGTGTCACCCGCAGAGGGGATTCAGACGGCGGGGATATCCATGTCTCAGCACTCTCTGGCAACCCTGGCCAAGCCGGTCGATCAGCTGCACGGAGTCTACCTGCAGAAAGCTGCGGTCTCCCTCTGGCTCTGTTCAGCTCTACTTGTGGACTGTGGAATCACAGCTGATATCATATTTTTTCTGGGGAAAGTGTCTGCGTGTCTATGCTTTTACAGTCTCATAGTGCAGGTTTTACTAATATCCATAATGAATGCAATTTGAAATTTCAAAAAAGGGGGGGGTGGCATCAAAATAATAAATGAAAATGACATGCACACAGAGAAAGATTTCAGTGATTTAGTTAAGTCATGAACTCTATCAAGCTCGGTGTATGCAGAAGGGATAATGTAATCAAGTAATGCAGTTATTTTCCACTTCTGTCTAATACCCAGGCCATATAAAAGGGAGAAATCTATTTAATGTAATAATAATTATGCAGACAACAAACATTGCTGATTCAAAACATGTTTTCCAAAGAAAAGGCTTTAACTTTCCAATTTAAATTTCTTCCAATATAAATGATTATCTGAACTTTTATGAGTTGCGGTATTCCACATGACTAATTTTGTCAGTATTTATTAGTATTAAGGATTAAGGAGTTTGAAATGTTGTCATACATGTGTTGCAGCTTGCTTCTGGTTAAAACCAGGTATATATTCAATGTTAGTTTGGGTAAAGTGGTACTCCAAAATCAACCAAACAGGAAAGTCAAAGCAGGATTTGTATCTTGCTGCTACCTGCACCTGGTTTGCTTTGATTTGCATTACGAAACATGCTTGTTTTCAAATGAGTGAAGCTAGTTTTGATTGGAGCTATCCATGTGAGGGGCCTTGACTGGCTGCCAAAGTAGGCTGTGTTTTGACTGAAATGAAAAACAATATTCAAAAATGATTTGGCCTGTTATTTATTAACAATACAGGTGAGTATTGGCAGGCTAAAATGATGAAAATTATCTATCAATGGCATGTGTAAATTATGATTCTGTGAAGTAATGGCCTTTCAGATTTTTTTTTCACTTGTATGGTTTTGAAATTCTAACAGCACTGGTTTATAAAAATAAATAAATAAAAAAACACATCTGTGGAAAAATGAGGGAGGCAGAATTCCACAGCCGTTTCTGAGCATTGTTCTGTCAGTTCTACAATTCTAAAATCCAAAAACTGTCGAATAACCACTCAAGCGGTTCCAGTTCTTAAGCAAGGCCCAAAACCCTGCCTCGCCCGTGAGAAACACCTCAATGGAAAAACAAGGCCTCATTTCAAATACACACACACACACACACACTCACTCCCACGCGCACACACACACTCCCACGCACACACACACACTCCCACGCACACAAAGACAGCTCTGGCTGGTCTTCTGGTAAGCTGGCGTTTTATCATGGTTGTTCATAATTGCTCAAAAACAATTATTGCAAAGAGAAGTGGCTAATTCAGATGGTCAGTAATACAGATTTGTTCTATAAAAAGTGAATAATTTCGATATGCATTACCATTATGTTGGCAACCATTTTCTCCTGTCTTTGTCCCCATAAAAGAAAATATTGTCATTCATGGGCACAGATGAGAATCAGTAAATTGGTACAGCATTACACATACACGGCGGTGAAACATAACCATTTTGTACTTTAGCGTCATCTAATTATTCCCTATTTGAATTGCAAATAAAATTACACCTTTTCAAGGAGCTCAACAGCCAAGTCAGCGTCGTTGCCTTTATCTGACTGTGCAACCGGAGACGAAGTAGCTCCGGGTTTGAGTCAGTAAAAAAAAAGGACACCGTAAACCACAAAAAATGTTCATACTCGTATAAATAACCTGCATTATTTACATTTATTTGGTCTCTCGTTTATTAGCATTCAGTTTCTTCATTTCAAGTATGTGAGTCGTGAGAAATGGTACTATCTACTGACAATAATGTCACTGTGTCATTTATTAATGTTTTATAGAGTATTTCATTCCATGCTTATAAATGCTCTATATGCTGTATGCCTGCTTCATGGGTATCTGCTTCTGCATGCAGTTTGCATGATCTCCTTGTGTTTGTGTGGGTTGACATTGGGCTTTCTGGTTTCCTTCCAAGTTGCCATTGGTGTGTGTGTGTGTGTGTGTGTGTGTGTGTGTGTGTGTGCCTGCCTGCCTGCCTGCCTGCCTGCCTGCCTGCCTGCAACCTGTCCAAGGTGTCTTCCTGCCTATCGACCCAATGTATGCTGGGATAGGCTCCAGCCCCCTGTGATAGATAATGGATGGATGGTAGGATAGAAGGATGAATGCAATTGATTACTGATTTGCATCAGCAGATTCTCCCACAGTGTTTGCGTTTTGCCACGGAGGTGGAAACAGGAGTGCAATTCACATATTTTTATTTTCCACACACCATGCTGTAAGAACGATATTTACTAATCGTCTCTTTGAGAACGTAAGCAAAATACATGTCATGGTTATATAAGCTTAAGATAGCACTTTGCCTGAAATATTATCTCCAATATTTACTGTGTAAAACCTTTGAGAGTACCCAGGTAAATTATCCTGGCAATACAAAGGGTTCAACTGTGTTAATGTCTGTTTGGTGTTGAATCCTGACCTGAGTGGGACTGTCATTTTCGTAAGCAACACAGCATAATGGACTGCAGTATGGCTAAGCTAGCGAGGGCTCAGTCCGTAGGATTTTCCTTCCGACTCCTGTGTCTGTTAAGCGTAGCCACCTGCCAACTCCATACTGCCTCAAGCTGTTGGCTGTGCAGCTTAGCCGGTAGACTGAAGAGTGTGAAGCAATGGCTGTGTGAAGTGTGCATGCTCATTCGCACCCATTCAAGCTGGTGGAGGACATGAACAATGACCGCTTTATGTCTGTTGTACTCCATTGATTTTGCCGTCTCCTCAGAACCATGTTTGGTGTGATATCTTTTAAGCGATTTATGATGGTGACATTGGGTTTTTGACAAATGGATTTCTGAGAAGAATCTCTACACAGTGGGTGCGTCAACAATACTTATTATTCAATAGATGTATTTGTGATGGGACACCCAATAAACTGGGTATAAATAAACATGACAATAATTATAATTCTACTGAACATAATGATCTGGTCATCATATTTACCCATTCTGCAGATTTACTGTGTTTTTCATTATTAATGTAAAATGAATGTCGAAGTATATTTCTTCACCAATCTGTCAAAACTTTGAGGTTATTTTCCTCTGAGCTAAACTTTCATGTTATGTTTTCCCATTTTCTCCTTCTGCAGGTAA